CAGATATTCTGAATATGAATTATATGACTAATTTTATGCAAAAATTATGATTTGCCTTTTCGTGAATTATCAATTATTCATGAAATATTGGGGGCTTAAATTTACCAAGTTGTATTAGTACCGTACAGGAAAATAGGCATTTTTTAAATAAAACCTAAGTCAGATCGTCTTATTTTGATCCCATGAATGTCTGTTCACTTTTGATCATTTGCTTACAGTAGTTATGTAGTGTCATGTAGTAGAAATTCAGTCTTTTGTTGTCTCTGAAATCAGAAAAATTATCGTCAGTCGACATAAACCCAGCGCAAGGGGCAGTTGATCTTTGCAATTAGCATTTCTTATAAAGGAAGTTTCACATGTCCCCATTTAAAAAAGTCCGACGAGTTGAAGTCTAGAGATTGCGGTGGCCCAACAATGGGATCTATCCATTCAAGGCAACTCGCCAAACGCTTGCGGAAAAAAACGGGTTTCTTGTATAGCATTAGGGTTTTAGATTGACCACACAAGATCATTCTGGAAATTGTTGATTCCATATCTTGTAAATGTGTAATCTTTCACACCTAGAACGGTCCTTGAAGATTGTCCGTATAATCGTTCTATCATTCATAAATAAGAACTATTTTGGGCAGATCTGGTGTATGATCTGGGCAAAATCAAGTATTTACGAAAATAAAACAGCATTTTTATAATCTTAAATTTAGTCATGGAATTTGTACACGAAGGATCTCGAATACATCGACGGACACCCTATATACTAAAGCGTTTAAAAAAATCCATAATAAGAAAAATATATTTGATTAAGATAACGTGGTCGCTCAAAAACCATCTAAAACAGTGAATTTTAAAATTATTTCGGATCTAAAGGGTATCACCAGTTTTTCATGGAGTTGTTTACATTCCTCGCGTCCTTGCGATGAAAATGGTATGTTTACAAGTGTGTTTTTGAGTTCATTACATAGCATTCGACCTGTTTTATAAAAAGGATTATCTGTAGGTCAAAGATCGGGTCAACATTTTCGGAACTGCAGATTCTAAAGTGTTCCTCAATTGTTGCATTTCTTGACTTTTTGCGAGACTTTTCAGTTTTCTGGCCCAAATGGTTCGCAAGTAGTATCTTTCGATTTCTTTTTCGGCCAATAAGAAACTTTTTACAGTTGGGACGGAGCTCCATGCAACGATCTAAAAAGCATCCTCCAATAAATGCTGAAATTAGAAAAGTTGATATAATTATAGCTCGGAACCGTTTGTCTTTCTAAAATAGTAAAAGTCTACTACTTTTTCGGAGTTTTATTCAAGTGAGGATCCTATGTGGAGGGTAAATCGTGTGAATCTGTTACAATGATCACAACAGTTATTTGTTAACTGCAGTGGCCGTGAGAAGTGAAAATATTTGGGACTTTCTAAGTGTAGGTTTTATACAAAAATTTAAATTCTATAACAAAAACACGTACAACTTGTCAACATTTTATTATATTTGCGATAATCGTCAGATAAACAAACAGTAAAGTTTAATTTTTCTATCGCTTGTTACTTACTGGAATGCTTGATCAAATCTGATTTCAAAAATTGTCGTTGCTCGGTCTACGAGGATTTATTCAAATATGGGAGCTTAATATAATTGATATGTATTTACTAAGTTGTTTTATAAAATTTTTCAAAGGCGTGTATTTGCATTTAAAGAGGACCATTTAATGAAGAAAACGTTGGTTCGTAGACAGTAGAAATTTCTATACAATTACAATTCATTGGATCAATTTGCCTGAGTCAATTGCATGAATTGAAATCTGCTGAAAAAACCTATAAAACTAGAGGATGCCATTAAATAAATAACATTTAATGTCCCCCGGGACGTATTTTCCCTGTGAAATAATTTAACTTACATAATAAACATAAACATTTTTCTTATTGCAATTATTATTCCAGATATCGCGTTGTCCTAAGTTAAAGTACTAACAAAAAACAACGTTCATTTTAAAGTATCATTTAAACGGCATTTAGATGGTCATACTGTACAAAATTTTCCATATTGCGTCCCTGCACACTATTTTTCTCCATCGCGTCCGGAATGAGTGAACAACTTCTATAACGTGGGAGTTTTGTTTTTAGTCCTCGTTCCGGAATATCACACTTTGCACTTTCAACTGTCGCCGAACTTTTCTCGTCCAAAGTTTCTAAATTATATGTAAGATCCCGAACAGCTTGCAACTTGAAAATTGAAAACTCAATGAGCACATTTTTTTCGATTTATTTTTAACCATACTATGCCGTTTACAAATAAACCGTCGCATTTTGCCAGCATGTGATTGGCTCATTTTCTCAATTTAAGGGCTCAGGGGGGCTTAGTAAGGGCAAGTCAAAAGGAAGGAACTCTTCAAGATTTGATTTCTTCCCGGAAATAAATTAATGAGAAATACTGATTGGAAATGCAAGGTGCATTAAATTGCGCCACGTGCATGGCCTTAACCTTGGCCGACGCCCTAAAGGTTTTTGCAGCAGTCCTATCCTGTTGCAGCCCACGCGATTAGCGCCGCGGCGCTCTCGTGTTACGTAAGCGCGTCGACCTTCTGACGCACGAAAATCTGCTCTTACGTCACAATGGACGCGCAACACCGTCGGTAACGATAACAAAGCGTCGCGATGATAATAGAGCGTACTTTCCTCGGTTTTCCTGCATATTTCCAATTTTCACATATGTATTTTAAAGAGAAATGTATGTTTTGTACAGCATTTTAAATGCGGGGCTTATAGTATTATGCTCGGGTCACAAGAGGGCTCATCTCTATATAGAGCAATTTTCCTATTTTTACATGCATCCGATATTCCCTTG